TTTCTGCTGTGCATTAGTTTTATTAGCCTGCAACTACCAGCGGCTTATTTCCATTTCTACATTTAGTTATAAGTGTCTCCATGGCAGACTGACTGGTGACTTGACTGTGCAGCTGTATGATCAAGATCGACAAGTGGTACATTTAAGATAAAAATCAGAAAACAAAGTTCGGACGTGAGAAAAGTTCATGCAACCAGGTAAGCTTATGGCACACAAGAAATGCACATCTTCGATCCCTTGACCACATATTAAAAAATGCAAGGACCAGTCTCCACTTAATGTCCAACGGATCCCATCAGAAACTCAAAGTTACCCAACAAGGTTACTGCAGTCTTCAGTATTATTAAAATGCTAAAATTGAAAAGACAACGAATGTTGACGGTGGCCACAAAATCTAAGCTGCAGCACACACAAAAGATCTCAATGAAATACAAACAGTTTCACAATGTATGTACTTCACTTTTCGCTGATCCGCTGCCTCTACTCTAAGAAATTCTTTTCATCCAACTGGACCAGCTACAGAATTTAGACATTTAATAAACAAAAAGCCTCAAACACAAAAGGCAAACATGGAAAGATATATATAGAGTAAGACTAATATTATGTCCACTAAAAAAGCAAGTGAAGGCAATCACTGAGAAAGGTAATCTTCAATAAAAGAGACGATAGACATATGTTCTTATTTACCATGATCTATGAGCATCATGGAACAAAAAATGTTTAAAGAAATTACAGATCTTTAAATTCAAGAAATTAGACAAGTCATAGAAGAAAAAAATCTCAAAAGAAATTCTTGTTTGTGTAGGAAAAGAAAAAAGAAAGATGTGAAGAAGACTGAGTAGATCCTCGCGTATTTATCAGCCACAGGTCTGCTCCATCTGGATTATCACTCAAATTATAGCCAAAAGCTGAAAGCTGGCCTGCTATATATTCGCTATCACTCTAGAAAAAACCATTGTTGTAAAATGCATTATGATCATAAAGAAAATCACAAGAAGAGTGACTTCTACAATCTATTCTGGATTTTGGTTTAATAACTCAACTGGTCATCTGAAATATTCATCGAAGAAATTTATTTCCGGACTCTTACTCTAGAATATTCTCCATGTCACCCGTCTCCAAATTTTTACTCACCCATCCAGAATGTTCTCCATTTTCCTCTTCTCACTACTTCCCTCCATCTCAGATCTCCCTCCTATATCCCTCCCATTCTCATGTGTTACGTAGTAACTTCATACATTCACTAATAGAAATTGCTGGTGCAAAATCATTTGCTGGAAGCATCAACTATTTTTAGGTCATTTTGCTAGAATTATCAAAGCACAAGCCCAATTTTTTTTTTTTTTTTTAATTCATGTTGTTTCTAAAATGTCAATGGGTGTTTGTGTCAGCAGCATGCCAAACAAGAGAGAGAGAGAGTGAGAGTGAAGTGTTTCCAAGTTACTGCAATGATGATAAGCGTCAAACTGGTGCTCCATTACCCGTGGCATGTCCGTGCAATAGCAACACCACATTTCCAATGACTTTCCAACTCTTGTATTCCTAATGTAAACGTCAATTAGTACTCGTTTACGTTGCCAAGGAGGTGAAAAAAATTTGTTGTAAATGTGGCTCATATAGAGTGGAACACAGGTTCGCTTGATCGATATCAGAATGGAGGGGAGCGGAGCACACCGATCGGAATGGAGTGGTACAGAAAAAAGAAGCAATGTCAGAAAAGGAAGGGACAAGATACAAGGTTTGATTAGTAGTTAAAAGATACTCACAGAGGAAGGAAGTAGATTATGATGAGATTTTCTCTCCGGTTGTCAGATACACTTCTACCACGATTGTCCTGATAATGGTGGTCAGTTTTGATTTATAGTTAGAGCAGTTGGATGTGAAGATCGCTTTCCTTCATGGTGATTTGGAGGAGCAAATTTTTATGGAGCAACCAGATGAGTTCTTGGAATCAGGAACGGAGAATTTTGTGTGTAAACTGAAGAAGTCTTTGTATGAGATTAAGCAGTCTCCACGACAATGGTACAAGAAGTTCAACTCCCACATGATTCAGATTGGCTATAGTCGTTGTGATATGATTGTTGTGTGTACTGAAGAGTTCTTGAGGATGATTAATATATTTTCTTGATGTTGTATGTGGATGACATGTAATTGTTGCTAAAAACATGAATGAGGTAAACAAATTGAAGTCTTTGTTGAGCAGTAAGTTCGACATGAAAGATTTGGACCTGTTAAGAAAACTCTTGGCATGGAGATCAACAGAGATAGGAAGGTCAAAAAATTAGGGTATCTTAGAAAAATTATTTGAAGAAAGTGTTGAAGAGTCTTAGCATGTCCAATGCAAAACCAATGGGTACAACATTGGTAAATTACTTCAAATTGTCTAGTAATCAGTACCCTCCCTAAGAATGAAGAAGAAATTGCAGAGATATCAAGGTGCCTTATGCTAGCGCAGTGGGATATTTAATGTATGTAATAGTGTGTACAGATCAGATTTAGCACATACAGTCACTGTGGTGATCAAGTACATGACTAATCCCGGCAAAGAGCATTGGAGAGCAGTAAAGTGAATTTTTACGTACTTGAGAAGTACAATGGAGTGTGTGATCATGTTTGAGAGACAACATGATGATATTTTAGTTCAGGGATACGTAGATGCAGATTATGCAGAAGACTTGGATGACAGGAAGTCCCATACAAATTATGTTTTCACACTTACGGGTGTGCCTATATGTTGGAGATCAATAGTTCAGTCACTTGTGGCATTATCCACAACTGAAGTAGAACATGGTAGCAATTGAGGCGACTAAGGAATTATTGTGGCTGAAAGAGCTTGTCAAGGAGCTTGGAATCAAGTAAGATGGAATAAAATTGTATTGTGATAGTCAGAGTGTCATATTCTTAGTAAATAATCAAATTTATTGTACAAGAACCAAGCACATTGATGTGATATTTCACAAGATAAGGGGGAGAATTATTGCTAGAGAAAGTTCATACTACAAAGAATGCAGTAGACATGTTGACAAAGCCAATCACAATAGATAGGTTCAAGCATTGCTTGAACTTTATTAGCATCTCTAGATGTCAGAGAGGATGTGTCACAACCTATTGATCCCAGATGGTGTGTTTTTCCCAGGTTATGTTTGCTTCAGTGTTTTTTCCTAAGGGGTGAATATTCGCCAAGGTGGAGATTGATATATATGTGAGTCATATAAAGTGGAACACAGGTTCATCGAATCAAAATGGCCGATGCCGGAGCGGAGAGGCGACGACATTGCCTTGTGGGTTTAATTCACCGTTTGCTTGTTAGGGACACTGAATAGGTGGGGTGTGGAAGCAATGCCCCTGTGGTACGGTACAAGTGTATTTTTTCTTGTATAGACCCTAAAGTCTTGTATGGGCTTGGGTTAGCATAAATGCTGATGATGTAACCATATTATTTATACTGAATAAAAATTTTCGCTTCGCTCCTTGTGAACGTAGGCACATCGTCGATCCACGTTAAATACTTGTGTTGATTTCTTTATTTCCGTTTATCGTCACCGTGAAAATATTTTTAGAAGAATATCCAATTACCAAAAAGTGCAAATATTTGATGCCTTTCTTCGCTGTCACCAATTTTTTCTTCATTAACAATAACCCTAACCTATCTAAATGGTCTCATTAGTTCTTAAAATGCCAACCAAAACTACATACTACGATTCCAATCTTTTACCATTTTAACTCAAAACTTAACAGCAGTCACGTGGCCTCCCTCCTTACAGAGATAAGAAAAATTTCCATCCAAAGATGGTTACTTCATCTTTATTCATCCAAATCTTTGTTCTAGTGGCTTTAGATCCATTAAACATGGTGAGAATTATCTTCAACCAGCACAAGCTTCACTATCCAACAATTTTGTTACATTAAAAAAAATTCTCTCTCTTACACTTTCTTACTATTGGAAAGCATTCAAGCAGAAAGGAAACGCAGAGGAAGTTGCTAACAAATCTGTTTTTCCGCCACAACAAATTATAGGCTCCAATATTTAGAATCTTCCATTTGGATATTTACATAACATTTAATAGAAGCTAAAACCATTTCACTTAAACCCATAACACAAAAAGAATATTATCTTCTCCCACACTTCTATAAACACACTAAAAATAATATACTAAGGGAGCAAGAATATTACTAAAGAAATGAATAAAGATCAATGAGCACATTTATAAGTAGGTTGAGGACGTTAAGTAGGAAAAAAAGCTTCTTATGACCTAACTTGTGCATGTTCGTTTTTCAATGTAAACCTTGTTCTTTTTGTAATTTACTTCTTCGTTAGTTGCACAGATTTGTATGTCTAGATGGGTTGAGGTACCGACCCAGCCTCGATATAGTAATATATCATGGATAATCTTAAAATTTTCAAAGCCTCAAAG